AGTGATTTTTTTTTTTTAATATTTATTTATTACTTTTTTAGGTGGACTCAATATTTATATTTTATTTTTATGTGGTGCTGAGAATCGAACACAGTGCCTCTTGCATGCTATTCGAGCGCGCTACCATTTGAGCCACATCCCCAACCCCTACAGCGAGATTTTGTCTGTAAATAAAATACAAAATAGGGCTGAGGATGTGGCTCAGTGGTCAGGTGTCCCTGAGTTCAATCCCCAGTACCAAAAACAAAAACAAAAACACAAAAAAAACATGTAGAATTATTAAACGGAGGAAAAATAAGTCTTTCAATAAATAGTGCTGGAGTAATTGGAAATCCATTGGCAGAAACAACCCCTGCCCCCTGAAACAAACAGAAAATTCAACATATTAAGTGTTAAATTGAAATGGAGTCTGTGGATTAAATGTAAAATATAAAATTAAATGTTTTAGGAAGAAAAACTTAGAAAATTTTTTGGATTTAGGACTAGGCACAGAATTTTTTTCTCCTTGTCAAATAATTCTTATATGGTACTGAGGATCGAACCCAGGGCCTCACACATGCTAGGTGAGCGCTCTACCACTGAGCCACAACCCCAGCCCAAAAGCATGATTCATAGAAGGAAAAAGTACTAAATCGGATTTCATCAAAATTAAAAACTATTACTATGAAAAAGTCCTGTGAAAAGAAAGAAAAGACAAGCTACAGACTGAGAAAATGTTTGCAAATGGCATATGTCACAAAGACATATATCTAAAATATATAAAGAACTCTCACCAGGTGCCGTATACACCTATCAAAATGGCCACAATAAATATAATGGGAATGCCAAATTCTTACATGGATACTAAGAAACTGGATTATATTGCTAGTGGGAATGTGAAATGATAGTCACTGATAATAGTTTGGCAATTTTTAAATAAAACACTCAGCTACCATACAATCCAGCTATTGTACTCCAGGGCATTTATCCCAGCAAAATGAATGTGTAGGCTCACACAAAATACAAATTACACACAAATTACACAATGGAAACAACAGGTGAATGAATGGTTAAACTAGTACATTCAATAAATACTGTGGAATAGCTGGGGATGTAGCTCAGTGGTAGAAAGTTTGCTTAGCATGTGTGAGGCCCTGGGTTCAATTCCAACACTGCCCATGGAATATGACCCATATGAGGGCTGGGGTTGTGGCTCGGAGGTAGAGCACTTGCCTAGCATGTGTGAGGCCCTGGGTTCGATCCCCAGCACCACAAAAAAGTAAATACACAAGATAAAGCATTGTGTCCATTTATAACTGAAAAAAAAAATAAAAAAGAATATGACCCATACATTACATATAACTACCTGGATGAACCAAGTGTGGTGGCATACACCTGTAATCAAGGGACTTGGGAAGCCGAGGTAGTAGGATTGCCAGCTTGAGGTCAGGTTGAGCACTTTAGCCAAACCCTCAGCAACTTAGGGAGAACCTGTTTCAAAATAAAAATAAAGGGGTGGGGATGTGGCTCAAGCAGTAGCGTGCTTGCCTGGCATGCGCGCGGCGCTGGGTTCGATCCTCAGCACCACATACAAATAAAGATGTTGTGTCCGCCGAAAACTAAAAAATAAATATTAAAAAATTCTTTCTCTCTCTCTCTCTCTCTCTCTCTCTCTCTCTCTCTCTCTCTCTCTCTCTCTCAAAAAATAAAAATAAAAAGGAGTGAGATGGCCTGGCACAGGAGGCTGAGGCAGGAGGATTGAAGTTTAAAGCCAGCCTCAGCAATTTAGCAAGACCCTAAACAACTAAGCAAGACGCTGTCTCAAAACAAAAAATAAAAATGGTTGGGGATATGGATCAGTGGTTCAATTATTGGTATCAAAAAAAAAAAAAAAAAAAAAGGAGTGGGATGTACCTCAGTGGTAAAGCACCCCTGGGTTCACTTCCCAGTATCAAAAAACAAAAACCAACACAAAAACAAACCAACCTGGATGAATCTCCAGAGAATTATTCTGATTAAAAAACTCCAATCCTGGGCTAGGGTATATAGCTCAGTGGTAGAGTGCTTGTCTAGCACATGAGAGGATCTTGTTTCAACCTCTAGCAGTGGGGGCGGGGGGAGTGCAATCCCGAAAGGATGCATTCTAAATACTTCCTTTTTTTTGGGGGGGGGATTGAACTCAGGGGTACTTGACCACTGAGCAACATCTCCAACCCTATTTTGTATTTTATTTAGACAGGGTCTCACTGAGTTGATAGGCATCTTGCTTTTGCTGAGACTGACTTTGAATTTACAATCCTCCTGCCTCAGCCTCCAAGCCGCTGGGATTACAGGTGTGTGCCACTGTGCCTGGTTTATAATTCCATGTATATAACTTTTTTTGGGGGGGAGGGGAGTAACAGGGATTGAACTCAGGAGTGCTTAACCACTGAGACACATCCCCAGCCTTTTTATATTTTATTTTGAGACAGAGTCTTACTAAGTTGCTGAGGCTGGCTTTGAACTTGTGATCTTCCTGCTTCAGCCTTTCCAACTGCTGGGATTACAGGTGTGCACCATTGCACCAGTCCATTTATATAACTTTTTGGACAGGATCTTGCTGTGTTGCCAGGCTGGTCTTGAACTCCTTGGTTTTAGTGATTCTCCTGCCTTAGCCTCCTGAGTAGCTGGGACTACAGGTGTGTGCCCTCATACCTGGCATATATATATATATATATATATATATATATATATATATACACACACACACACACACACACACACACATATACATTCACACACAGAGGAAGATTGGGATGGTTATAAAAGGGCAACATGAAGGATCCTCAGTGATGGAAATGTTCTGTATACTGCTTTTCTTTGTAAATATATTGATTATTGGTATTAATATCTTGGTTGTGATATTGTACTATAGTTTTTATGTATGTGTGTGTACTGGGGTTTAACCCTGGGAAGCTTTACCACTGAGCTACCTTTCAGCTTTTTTTTTTTTTTTAGATATTTTTTAGTTATAGATGGACACAATACCTTTATTTATTTGCTTATTTTTATGTGGTGCTGGAGATCAAACCCAGTGCCTCACGCATGCTAGACAAGCGCTCTACCACTGAACCATAACCCCAGCCTCCTTTCATTTTTTTTTTTTTTTTGAGACAGAGTCCCACTAAGTTCCTGAGGCTAGCTTTGAATTTGTGATCCTTTTCGCTCAGTCTCTGGAATAGCTCGGATTACAAGTGTGTACCATCATACTGGACCTGTACTGTAGTTTTGTAAATGATTAGCATCAGCCGTACTGGTACAGGGATATCTTTGTATTATTTTCTTACAATTGAATGTTAATCTACAATAATCTCAAAATAACATGCTTAATTAAAAAAAAGTATGAGGCAGGTGCATAACTTAGCCATGGTACAGCATTTGCCTATTGTATATAAGGCCCTGGATACCATCCCCAGCACTGTTTCTCCCCCTCCCTCCAAATAGTATGGATTGTTTCCAGATCCCTTTTGTCTTCATATGTCTTGGATTGTTAGCACTGCAAGAAAGATAGACACATTAATGCTATTGGTGAGAGTATCAACTCTCCTATTCTGTGATCCCTAGAGGGTCATATTTTTTGAGGAGCATGAGTTCTGCATTCAGCAAAAATAACTCATTCAATGAGGATGCTTTGAACATAAATAGGTTTTGTTTTATGTAGCTGATGTCAGATGTCCAATCTCTGCTTGGGTGATCCAGGAAAAGAAGCCTAAAATGCAAGAAATTGCCCTGAGACCCCCACAGCTGAAAGCTGAATTGGGAAGAACCAATAATGGTTAATAATCCTAACAAGAAACTTCCATAGGCCCAATTGGTCCTGGTATGTAGTCTGGTGAGAGGTGGGCAGAGGGACAAATAATGGAGTAGGAAGCCCTGTTGGAGCACCCAGGCCAAGGATGATATAAGAGATAGTTATGCATGAAGTCTGTTGATTATTTATTTAAAAACTGAGACATTTATATTGCTGACCATGCTTAAACTATCTCTGGAATTCAGGAAGAGATAGAAGGGCTGAGGGATAAGGGAAGAAGGGAGACTTGTAGTTGAAGGTCCTTGATTTTTGGTTACTATAGTCCCCAAAATGAATAAACTTAAAATTAGCTGATTGCCTATACGGCTGTCAATTTGTTTCTTTCAAGTTTTTGCTTGACTATTTTAGTCCAGAGAGCCACTATCTGCTTATTTTTACCATTTGGTCTATATGTGTCCCTGGCATATGGATCACACTTGTCTCTGTATGGACAAAACAGAGTGGAAAATAGTACTGGGTTGGAGTCGGAACATTTGAGATCTAGTCCTGAGGCTCACGGAGTAGGTGACCTTCGGGTAGCTCTTTGACCTATTTCCCTGGGATTCAGTTTCCTTGTTTGTAAATTGAAGATTAAAGTCCTTGGTGACAATTCACCGTCTCTTTTCCTCGGCCCCCATCCAGCGGGTCTCTGCAGCGCACTTCTTAGGTGTAGAATAAACATTCATCCATTGGTTAACCGGCCGCAGGCCGCAGAGGACAAGGAGACGCCACTTCTCAGCTCCTAGACACACAGCCTTCGCAGCAGACCGCAGCGGCTTGTCGCGTCCCCCTCTTACCAGCCCGAGAGGCCTTTGACGCCACTTCTCACTGCCTGATTCCTGGAGTGGGGCTGGTGCTCAACGAATGAGTGAATGGGTGAGGAAAATGGACATGAAGTGGACCCAGTCATCCCGGAGTTGCGCGTTTAGCTAACGAGTGCCCCTAGAAAATAACAAACACCGCCCTTACCCACGCTTCAAGGCGACTGCCAGGTGCGAACCGCGGGAGGTTCACCGACTAAGCGGTTCAGATCCCGCCCGCAGCAAAGCAGACGTGAGGACTGAGGGATGCGGCGGGCGCGCGCCCGCCCCGCCCCTCGTCGCGCGCGCGCCCGCCTCTCACCGCGCGCCTCGGCGGCCGGGCACGGGACGGCGGCGATCGCGTCGCTCTGGGCTGGCGGCTACGGCGCCGCGCGGGTGGGTGGGATCGTGGCGGAGCTCCGGGCGCCCGGGCAGGGGCGAGAGAGCGCCATGGCGGCTGCTGTGGCTGCGGCATCCGGTGCCCGCGCCGCGGCGATGTGAGGAGGCCTCCTCTTCCCACGACTGAGGAGGCTACAGCTGCCCGCCTGCCTTCCTCGCGGGCCGCGGCTCCGGCATGGCCGGGATCATTAAGAAGCAGATCCTGAAACACCTGTCCCGGTGAGAGCGCCAGCGGCCGTCCCGGGGCCCTTCCTGACCCCCTCCACCCTCTGGCTCCTTAACCTCCTGCTCCGAGCCGGGGCTCGGTGGCGCCCCCGCCTCAACTCGCGCCGGGACAGCCTCCCCCCGCGCCCGCTGGCGCCGACCGTTGTCACCACTCGGTTCTTCCCTTGCCCTGGGCCCGCGGGGACCGGGCGCCGGAGTCCCCTCCCCTCCTCCCACTCCAACAGACCCCGGGACTCCTTTTCCGCCCTCTGTTGGCCTGCTGCGCCCGCCCTCAGCTCCCACACCCCCTGACGGTCCCCCGAGCCCCCAAGGAGCCCACCCTTTCCTGCCGTCCCCACTGGGGTTGCTCCGTCCCGTGCCTTTGGACCCGCGGGGCCTCTGCCCACCTTTTGACCCGCCGCACAGGCAGCCCCCACTGCCTCCCTCTCTTAGACCCTTTATCCCCCTACCTCTTCTAAGCCTTGTCACCCAGTCCTGAATAACCCAGGTGTCCCTCAGATTTCCAAGGCCGACATTGGTTTTCTCTTTCCCAGAAGCTCTCAGCGCCTCCTCTTCTGTTTGACCCTGTTGCATCACCCCTGTAAGCCCTGCACCAGGACCGTTCCTTTGAGCTCCTTTCTCCCCCTTTTCCTTATCCTCATTACACAGACTAATTGGAGAAAGGTCATGAGAGTTGGGGATAAAGTTTCAGCAACCATCCCTTTAAGAAGATGTGGGTTTTTTTTTGACAGCCTGTGAAAAGTACCTGCAAGGTTCACTTCTGCTTTGCAGCCTTTTTGTTAAGCTCTATTATATCGCTCAGTAATTTGGGTATGAAGGGTTGGCTGGCAAGAAAATTTTCAACGATAGCTGTGTTAAGATCGTAGGTTGTCACACAAAAATTGGCGGCTAGCTTTTAACGTAGTTTGGCTCCACAGCAGGCATTGGTTTTCAGGAGGTAGGGGTTGTAGGGAGATACCAGTTGACATAGGATACCCAGACTTTGTACTGAGATACAGGTCTTGTCATTGCATTTGGTAAGTGGTGTGTGGGACACTATACCTGCCACTGCTTTACTTATTTTGTGGCTAACCCTCTGGCTTATTTGGTGTTACTTTGATCTTACACTTTAATTATCAATTACATTTAGATACATCTTTCATTTAATCTCCACCTTACAAAACAAAACAAAAAGCAGATTGGATTCTGGAGCTGGAAAGTGCCTTTGTACCCTTTCTCAGAATAACCCAATATATTCCTTTTCAGATAGTGTTACCCTGGGTGTTTGGTGTAATGATTTGAAAGTAAGACTAAAGATTGTAGGATGGGACAGAGAATCAGCCAGATGAAAACTTTATTAATTTATGAATGGACATAGGATTTTAGGGCATAGAGAGGTCATTTCTCCTCTCATAACTTTGTGTTTATGAGTGTAGGATTTTTCTTCCTTTTTTTTTTTTTGGTGTATGTGTGTGTGTGTGTGTGTGTGTGTGTGTAGGTGTGTAGGGGGGATTGAATTCAGGGATGCTCTACCACTGAGCTACATCCCCAGCTCTTTTTATTATTATTTTAAAATTTTGAGACAGGGTCTTGCTAAGTTTCCAAGGCTGGCCTAAACTTGAGATCCTTATTTCACAGCCTCCTTAGATGCTGGGATCACAAGTGTGTGCCATTATGCCTGGCTTCTTTTTTTTGTTTCTGTGTGTGTGTGTGTGTGTGTGTGTGTGGTGCTAGGGATTGAAACCAAGGCCTTGTGCATACAAGGCACTCACTCTACCAACTGAGCTGTATCCCTAGCTCTGTTTCGTTTTTTTTTTTTTTTTTTTTTTTTTGTTGTGGTTTGAATCCAGGGCCTTGAGCATGTTAAGCATACATTCTACTCCTGAGCTACATCCCCAGACCCCTCTTTTCTTTTTGAGACCAGGTCATGTGGTATTGTCCAGGTTTGCCTGGAACTGGGCTCAAGTGATCCTCTTGGAGTCTGGGCTTTTCTAATTTACTTTCTTCATCTCTGAAATGGGGCTAATAATAGTATCTACTTGGAAAGATTATTGCAAGGATCATATAAGTTAATATATGTAAAAATTTAGCATAAGTGCTCAGTAGAACATGAATTTTTTTTGGGGGGGGGGTCATAGCTTGTGTGACAATTTTTGTTTTAGTTTTCAATGGACCTTTAATTAATTAATTAATATGTGGTACTGAGAATCTAATCAGTGCCTCACAAGCAAACTACTACTGAGCTACAACCCCAGCCCTTGTATGACAATTTGATACAGGCATACATAGGCCTTCTCTCTATAAAAACCCATATATATAGACAGGTAATTTTTTTAATGTATGTTTTGGGGAGGGGGAGTTAGGAACCTCTAAATCATATGCCTGAATCCCTCAAGACATCTTGAAATGGGTGAATAATCCCTGATCTGGTTCCACCTCTAATTTGTGGCTGAGGAAACTAAAGCATTAAGAGGATAAGTGACTTGCCTAAGTTGCACAGGAAGGTAAGGTAGTGGGGATGGAACCCAATTTCCTAAAATTCTGGAAGTGCATGCATATTCTTTGTACTCTCTTTGAATATACAATTCTAAGGACTTTTTTTGACATGTATTTTATTTATTTTTATGTGGTGCTGAGGATTGAACCCAATGCCTCACATGTGCTAGGCAAGTGCTCTACCACAGAGCTACACCCCAGCCCCTTAAAGAAAGTTTAATCGTATGTGCTGACACATTTGGTGCACCTTTGGAGAACATGTCTTTTTGTTTTAGATGAAGTTGGAATTGTATGACAGACATTGAGAAATGGTTCTATTCTTTTGGTATTGGGCCAGGGACTGAGGAGGTGGAGAGGTTATAGCTGCAGATTTATGGGCTCTAGGAAAAGGTATAAGAATATGAGTCTGGTTGGAGAGGCCAAACTCCTGGGGACTTTGAGTTTGTTTAGCTTGGAAAACTTGCCTAATTATGGGTGGCATTTGAATGTCTTTTATTTCTAACACACAGGCTGACCTGCCTATGGCTCTGAGGCTTGCCAAACCTGATGGGGAGATAGAAGGGAAGGTTTACAGAGTTCCTGTGTTAAATAGATAGTAGGCGCTTGATAATTATTTATTGATGATGTCAGTGCTATTTGACCTGAAGGAGAATGTCTTGCAGCAGAAAGGATATCCCAGTGATTCTCATATTGAATTTTAGGCATTAAGTTTCACATAAGAAAGTGTTTTGTTGGAATGCATTTTTATTTTTTGTATTGAGGTTTGAACCCAGGGGTACTCCACCACTGAGCTCCATCCCCAGCCCCCTGTTTTCATTTTTTATTTTGAGACAAGGTCTTCCTAAGGTATCCATATTGTCCTCAAACTTGTCATCCTCCTGTCTCAGCCCCGCCGAATCTCTGAGATTACAGGCACACACCATTGGGTCTGGTGCATTCTCGTTAGTGATAGAATATTTTGTTAAACAGTATTTTTTGGGAAAAATATTGAAGATATTTTTCTTTTTTAAAAATATTTTGTTTTTAGTTGTAGTTGGACACAATACCTTTATTTATTTATTTATATGTGGTGCTGAGGATCTAACCTAGGGCCTTGCACGTGCTAGGCGAGTGCGGTACTGCTGAGCCACAACCCCAGCCCCAAATATTAATGTCTTTTAAGGTTTTTAACCTATAGTTTGGATGGCTGCTGTTCAGTATGTATAGCTTTAATGCATAGTATTTCTTTAAATAGACCCAAGAAAAATGCTTTACTTAGAAACACAAAGTAATCATTCATTTAAAAAATAGCTAAAATTGATTTTTCATCAAATTAGATTTTCTTGTTTTAGATTACCTTGGCTAATAACCTTTCATTATACAAGTAAGAAGGTATATGACTGGTTGTAAAGTAAGTCAGAGAAATAAGGCTAATGGAAAGAGTGTGAGCTTTGAACTTGGACAAACCAGAATTCCTTTCCAGCTCTGCCACTAATAAGCAGGCAACCTTTCTGAATCTTTTTTTTTTTTAAATTAGCAAAAGATAAGAATAATAAGAAAGAATAACACATAACTAACAAAATTTTTTTTGGAGGAAAAGTATTTATTACATTATCTGGCATGTAAATATGTGTTTAATAAAAAGTAGCTATATAAGATGGCTAGACAGGTTAGGGACACTATCCCAGCATGGATGCAGAAAGCTAACTGGCTTGAGTTTTTATTTTGTCTGTTCTCAGTACTGGGGATTGAATCTAGGCTTTTGCATTGCTTGACAAGCTCTCTACCACCGAGCTACATCTCCAGTCCTTTTTAAATTTTATTTTGAGATTAGTTGTCCAGGCTGGCCTCAAACTTACAATCCTCCTGCCTCAGCCTCCTGAGAAGCTGGGATTAGAGGTGTGCACCACTATGCCTGGCTCAAAGTCTTAATTATTTATTCTAAATTACTGCAGAAAATGTGAGCCTGAGTGACATAGAAATGACTGATAGATGTGGTAGATATTTTCAAAAAAAGTTTTACATGAAATTCAGATCATAGGGGCTGGGATGTGGCTCAAGTGGTAGTGCGCTTGCCTGGCATGCGTGCGGCCTGGGTTCGATCCTCAGCACCACATACAAAGATGTGTGTCTGCCGATAACTAAAAAATAAATATTAAAATTGTCCCTCTCTCTCTCCCTCTCTCACTCTCTCTTAAAAAAATATAAAAAAAAAACTTAAAAAAAAATTCAGATCATAGGAGATTTCAGAATTCCTTTTGGAGAATATAAGAACCTGACTGTGAGCCCAGCCGTCTCAGTCCCTGCCTCCACTCGTTATTACTCATGATACTGAAGAGCTGGAAAGATGTTAAGAGAGCATCGAGACCAGCCTGCAGTGGACAGTGAGGGGTTACAGACTCACAGAGGCTGACTACTTATCCAAGGTCTCAAATTTGTTTTTTTAGTTTTAGGTGGACACAGTATCTTTATTTTATTTTTATGTGGTGCTGAGGATCGAACTCAGTGCCTCCTGCATGCTAGGCGAGCACTCTGCCACT